TAGGGGGAAATCCAAGTTGGAGAGAACTAGGAGAGGAGGAACAGGCCAGGACAATGTGCTGGAGGCTGTGCAGAGCCGTGGGTGGGCCTGCGGGGCCAGGGCGGAGTCTGAGGAACTGAGTAGGCCTGAGCCTGAGGTATTGGGCCTGGTGAGGTGTGGTGGCACCTGCTGTGGGTCTGTGTGGCAGGAGGCAGCTCTGGGAACTAGGCTGAGGTGGTTCTTGAGGGTCAGGGCCTACGTGGGCAGAGCCTAGGAGGGAGAGGGACCTGTGTTTCTGGCTGCAGGCCTTGGATGAGGTGGCCTTAGGGGAAAGGAAGGGATTAGAGGAAGAGGCGTTTGTAGAGGTCAAGGAAGGTTTTGTTACATGGGGCCTGAAGCAGGAGGTGACCTCAAGGGTGGAACAGCACATGCCACATAGAGTCTGGCAGTGGTGGGGCCATGGGCACTGCGGGACAGGGCACTGGGAGTCCTCTAACTGCTGTTCTGTTCCTAAGTCAGCTGTGGACAGGGAAAGTGTTCTAGCGATGAAACTGATTGGCTTCATATTCAGGCTTGGATTTAAAACACTCCCACCCTCGATTTTTTGTTGTTGTTGTTGTTGTTGTTACTGTTCATTGAACCCTGGGGGTGCTTAACCACTGAGCCACATTCCCAGTCTTTTTAAAATATTTTATTGAGAGACAGGTTCCTGCTCAGTTGCTTACAGCTTTGCTAAGTTGCAGAGGCTTGCTTTGAACTTCTTCCTCAGCCTTCTGAGCCGCTGGGATTACCTGGGCTCCAACCACTTTACCTGTCAATTTAAGCAAAACTGTAGATGAAGTTTCAGGACCTGGCACATAATGGACTTATTAATGAATGTGATTATAATCATCATCTCTGTGTCTCCAAAAGTGTTCATTGAGCACATATTGTGGGAAATACAGCAGGGTCATTAACAGTTGAGAGTCCCACCTCATCAGGTCTCACAATCTTTAGTGGGAAACACATTGGTTTAACTCATTAAATTCAATTCCACTGGACACTTACTATGTGTCATTGCCTATTTCGGATCTAGAAGAAGCCCAGTTATCTCTTGTATTCATTTATCTACTTCAACCTGGACTGTTATGGAAGACTGTTCAAGATATTTTTTTTTCTATCTCCATGAGGACAAGGTCATCTCTGTTATGCATGGCCTAGTAGTTCTGAGCTGAAAAAGGCAACATCAGTAGGAGATAAGTGGGAAGACTGTCTTAGGAACAGGAAACAGCATGTGCCAACAGCTCAGTGTAGGATCCCACCTCACCCCTTTGGTGGACAATTCTTTCTTGGAGGATCTCAGCTCACTGTCTTTCCAGTCTTCTCCTGTTTCTAACTCCACAGGCACAGTCGCCCCCTGGTGGCAGCAACAGGAGAACCATATCTGGTCAGCGTCTGCAAGATGCCAAAGTGGCCAATACTCATCCTGAGTATGCATCCCAGGAATCCTCCTGTGTCCAAGGACAAGGGACACTAAGAAAACTTGTCCCTGGAGCACAGCATGTAGGAGCTGAGACTGCAGGGTCTGTGGAGCAGGAACATGAATATAGGCAGCAGGCACTTGGCTGATCCCAGGGGGAACTGATGGCCAAATAGTACCTGCAAATCCCCCGGGGATTTTGATCAGTTGACTCAGTGCCTCATTCAGGTGTCCAGCAATCTCCTTTACTTCCTGCTGTTCCAGGGCTACCAGGATGCCTAGGTTATTGCCATCTGAGAGCCCTATGTCCCCCCTGTCATTGGAGAGTGATAAACCTGTAGTTCTCAGAATTCCTCTAGTTGAGGTAGCCTCAGGTCCTCTGGTAGGCAAGAGCGCAGCCAGGTTGTAGAGAGTGAGTGTGGAGGAGGCGGAGGGGAGATGGCTGACAAGATTACACTGGAGGCACAAACAGGGCATGGTCCTGTCACTGAAAGTGGAGGGCAAGCTATGTCTTTTCAAAGGAGAGTTCACTGCAGGAAGGAGACCCTGTTCAAGCATCCATTTCTAGAGGGAGAGTGACAGGAGAGTGTATGTGCTGGGGCAGGGATGTCCTTGACTGGTGTCTGGGGTCTTGATCTGGAGAAGCCTGAATTTCCTTGGTGGGGGAGTGGATGAACCCATTTGTAAAGGATGATGGTATAGTGGGGGCATGGTGGTGCACACCTGTAATCCCAGTAGCTTGGGA